CTAACTGGGGGCTTTAGTTATCTCGAAGACAGTTGACATGATTCGGCAAGCAATTTTTCATAAGCAAAATGGCTATGGTAGATCCGGCCGAATTTTAATTTTGATCTCAACTTTCTTAACATATCCTGTTATGTATCTTGTCTTCAACAGCTACTCTTCTTAACATGTTTTCTTGGTTGTGTAAGAAAATTTCTCCACATTGCTGTGTAAAGAATTTTTGTTTCTTTTTGGGCGATTGGGGGATGATGATTTACCAAATCCAGCCTTGATATGGCAGCAACATTCTTTAGTGTTGCTATCAATTGAAGCTCCATTTACGATTAAATATATGATTTTAAATAAAAAATAATAAAAAAATTGTTCTGCTACAGCAGTACGCATACACGATTCATCGTCTCGAATTGGACAAAACAGAGACAAAGATGTCTTTCTTATGAGTAAATTTTTAAACCTTTTATATTCGTTTCTCCCGAGAGACATGTGGCGGTACAATTTTTTTTCAGTTCCTTTGGCTAAACGGAAGAAAATATATGTTTACACCGAATTCCAAATTAAATAGAAATCTATCTTTTCGTCAAATATCACTGAGGATTGTTTCTATGATCTCCAGCTGAAGGAGACTACGTTTCTGTGAATTAATCTCCGTCTACTTCACTTGGACTCTCTAGCTCCGTTTACAGTAACACATCATGGTATCGTTTTATTTTCCACGTCTTAGATCATGTTAGAGTGGTTTCCCAGGGGTTTTCAATGACATCATGGTTAATTTTCTGCGCAAATCTTGATCAGAAGCAGTGTTTCTTCCTCAAGTCATTATATAATACAAAGCGGTTCATGTAAGAATACAAGGTGTGATGAGTAAAATCGTTGCCATTTTATATTTTAAATTACTCGCATACTTTTTGATAGTTTTTGATTTTGTCAAATGCACAGTATAGAAGAGTTAGTTCGGCACCGTCTGTGAGAAAAAACGCGCCATGATGCAATTCAATCCGCCAGATATCTGTAAACAACATGCTGTACTGCTTGGCATTCGCGCCAGAAGCTCCTATGCGAACATTTGGGAGTGTGTTCGTGTAAATCTGTGGATAGTGCAGTATATTCGGAATTAGTTGGATGAGTATAATTGTGATTACGAAGCTGTTTGAAGTAATCGCTAGTGGTAGTGACGCTATGCCTCCATACATCATTCCACAGGAACTCAAACTCAATATGGAGGTATACATCAAGTGCTTTGAGGGGGGTAGTGCTGCTCTGTGTCAAGAGGATGGCTGCTAGAAGATCCTATGTCATGCAACAGCAGTCTGCACGATGCCGAACAAAGAGGAGAACATAATCATGACAATTACTACGACCACATCACCCCTTACATCTGGTCACCTAGATCCCAGACTTAAACCACCTTGATTATTACGTGTGATGCACAGTCGAGCAAGAGACCAGCAAAACTCCTTGTAACACCAAATATGAACTGATGACAAGGATTATGGCAGCATTCACCAACTTATATAAGGAGACAGCCCAGAATTGATGTAAGAGATTCCGAAGTCGTCTGTAGTCCTTGGTTGAAGCCAATTGCGATTATATCAAATAACTCTACTCTATAGTATTTCAAGCTAATTTTGTGTTATTTTGGTAAATATATCTGTTAAAATAAGATGTCAATATTATTTTCATTTTTTGTGTAATTTAAACGACCCTATTTCTTTTGCACACAATATAAGAAAATAACAATACAAATTTAGCTTAATTATAGTTAAATCATTATTCCCGATCTGTTTGAATATTTTAAGTAATGCGTAAAGCCGAGTAAATAACCTACTTTTGAAATGCAGTTATATGTGAAAATGTGATGTTACTTACAACGACAGAATGTTCTTTTGCATAAAATCTTAGATCTGTTTGGTAGAGGAACGTCTCTATCAACAGCAAAGAAATTCCATCTACACAATAATGAGACATTACATTGATTATTAAGACTTACAATCGCTAATTGTGCAGCGATCATTTGGATTGCATCTGAAAATAATTAAGATCACTGTATCTAAGCATTTAATATAATGTTTCTTCGAAAACGATTTGAGGAGATGGGAATCATTACATGCAACCCAGCGTTCCACAACATTATCACACATGACTGAGAGAGATATTCAATTGAAAAAAATGGCATTATTTATTTTCTCACACAAGAGTATTAATTGATATCCGATTTTTTGGATTTTCAATGTATTTCCTTAAAAAAAAATATTTTTTCCTTAAAAGAAAATGAATTTTTCCTTCAAAGAAAAGTGATTTCAAATTTAAAACCTCGTCGAATATATTACCATTGTAGTTAGTATCGCGAAAATGGAAAATAAATGTTGGACTGATAGTGTATATGCATCCATTTTAATAAAGTATATAATGAAAACTGACTTTTGAAACCATGCAATATATTGACTAATAAATATGACACATACATACTCTCATAGTGACAGAATGCTCGAAAAGTGATTTTATAATTAAATAAGTGAAAATAATAAAAGGGAATTATTTTTGATAAAAGGTTATTTCTATATGGATATTATTTCATCATAGTTCACCCAAGAAAAGACCCTAAAAACTACTTCGATGTAGATGGTCAGTGAATGTAATGTGAAAAAGGAACAGAATACAAGTTATTTGTGAGGATTCCGTGGATATGTATCATATATAACGACTTACCTTACACTAGAAGAGTTTACTATAGTAGTGTTCTGTGTCGCTTCCGTACTGGTGTCTGTTTTGCACTAAGTGCGTCTGTGAAGAAGTTTTCAGAGTGCAACGCCGTTCTTAGTGAAGTAATAAGTAGCGAATGAGGCAGATTCAGCCATGTAGACGGTCGGATCTTGTTTCAAAAACTAATGGAGTTCGTTTGAACATTTCCCATGGAAATAGCGATACAATAGCGATATACTTGCGACATTGCGTCTGTGGAAAATGGATGCTTAAACGATTTTAAACTCTGTCGAGGATGGGAAATGAGGATTAAGCAGTAAAACTTCATCTGTTTAGAAATTTTTATCAAATGCTGAACATAAAACTATTTAATCTTGTCTTAATAATAAGTGTGATCAGTTCGATATGGTCACATTGGCAGCTGATCCCAAAAGTGATCAGCAATGTGCAGTAACGTATGTAAGAAATCATTTGTTAATTTTAACGCTTCCTAAATTAAACCAATCTCTATCAATCATATGATAGACCCCTTTCTGTCTTCTATCAAAATGACTCTTGCTGACTTCCAGATGTGTGAATCGTTGCACTTGATCGGGTTAATATTTTTCGTTGACATGAAGTGGAATGATTACATTGAGTAAATTTCTAGGACTGCTGAAAGGAAAGTTGCTTTACTGTATTATTCTAGATAAGTTTACCATTCGCCCATGCTTTGAATATTGCTGCCACATATGGCCTGCTGCTCCCGCTATACATTTAAAACTACATAATCATCAATGACTTCTTTATGGTTGGTCGGATCTCCATTGACAATCCTTTTCTTCGCTGTTTGATCCTGTATTGCTGTCCCCAGATCACCAATGTCTGACACTGAGTCTCGAGCTATGGTGTCTGGGAAAGTTAATTTTCATGAAAAGACACTTCCAGAAGGATGTCATTGCTGTAAGAATGAGACGATTTGCCTGTACACTTTGTTGTAGTGGCCGGCAAACTGTTATGATTTTTTGTTCTTTTTTATTTTTAGTTTAAAAGAGATGAATCTCAGTTCTTCGTAAATTGTGTTAATCCTTACATAAGATCTCCAAATGCTGATCTGGATTTTTCTAAATAGATTAATACTTGATCAAATCCAAAGAAGAATCTCCAATGTTATTGTTCCTAGCCTCTCGTCTCGGATTCAGTTATTTCCTGCTGCGGTAATGTAGGTTCCCTGTGTCTTTTCTATGAATATTTTATTGATAATCGTTCCGATTAACTTCCTCTATGATACTCAGACATTATGAATTTAAATGCTTTACTTGATTGGCAGAAAGATCTCATTATTTTACAGTTGTAATGACTAGATATAAGTTCTGTGCAAACAGTTTCTTCAATTGCACTTAACGCTTGTGGAATTTTGGTCCGCATTCTTGCTTGCGATTCGACTTATATCTTCCAAAAGTTAAATAGAATGTCAATTGATATGATCTGTCTTCTTTTTTTTCCCTGTTATTTTGTTCTTCTTTCTCCTTAATAGTATTTTATGATATTATCTAAAACTCGGTAATCTCTTGAATCATAGTGGCTTTATTCCCTTGCTTGTGGGTAAAATGATTAAAAAAATATTGTGCGATTAACTCTTGTAAAGATAAAGCGTGAAGCCGACTATTTTTGAGAGATAGTTTTATATAGTTAGAGAGATTGTTAAATTATAGTTTTTATATAGTTATATATTTCGGGAATATTGTAATGAACATTCCCCGACTTAGCCTGTTTCCAGTGAATAAATTAGTAGCACATAGAAACTGTAATATTACTTGTGTTTACATCAACCGTATGTCTTGTCTTCCACTTTGTGTAAATCACAACTACTTCGTCTTGAATCACCTAATCAAGCTTTACCGACATTACTCAACTGCCAACTATTTATACACCCTGGCCCTTATCCAAATAGAAGTATCAGGTGGAGATATCATAGAAGCTGCGAGAGTAATCGTCATTCATCAATCCAAGAAGTACATGCATACATTGGGAAGCAGACGGAGAACATGAAAGCTAGGGATATAAAATGATTTATACAAAATACGAAATTAGAAATCAATCAAAGTGGAATGTTAGAGAGAAATGGTCACTATTGGTGTATAGACTAAAAAGATGCAGAACAGATAAGAAGAAAAACGGATCAAGACGTAGAACCGAATGAAAATGAGGAAGAAGTGAAAATGGATTAGAAAATGGATTCAGTTGGATTAAGGCATGAATAAAAAAAGCAATAAAGCTCTAAAAGGACAATAAAAGGTATCAGGGTAAAATAAAATACAAACCTATTAGGAAAAAAGAGGTAAATGAATGCAAGCAAAAGAAATACAAGAACTAGTGAAGGAGAGGAAAAGAGCGGTAGAAATCGAAGAAAGTGTAATGAGTAAACATAAATAAGAATGAAAGACGGAATGAAGGAATCTGTGAAAACAGTCACGGATTGGCTGAACAAAGGTTAAAACGATCACAGCTTTGAAATTTTAAAATGACATAAAGTAGACGGGGAAATTATAAAATAAGAAAATATATACGGTGAAAATTTAAAAAAGACTGAAATTATGAGATAAAAATAAACGGTAAAATTATTAAATAACAAAGAAATGATGAAAATATAAATCAGCAAAAATATCGATGAAAGTATAAAATATAAAAAAAACGGGGAAAATATAAAACAATAAAATAAGTGAAATTTTAAAATAACAGAAAAACAGGGAAATTATTAATTAGCTAAAAACGGTGAAATTATTAAATAACAAAGAAATGTTGAATATATAAAACAACAAAAAAACTATAAAATATAAAAAAACGGTCAAAATATAAAACAATAAATTAGGTGAAATTATAAAATAAGAGAAAAATAATGAAATTATTAACAAAAAAACTGTGAAATTATAAAACAACAACAAAAACGGAGAAATAATAAAATATCAAGAAAAGCAGGCAATTAAGAAATCAACCAAATCAAAGCAAGCAAGCAAATACTTAACATTTAACATAATATCTATATAGCCAAATATATTTAAATTTAAAAAGATATAATTTAGCCTATCGTTTCTTCCACGCTCCTTGTCAGTCTTTTGAGCAGTGGTAAATGTTCATTTCTTGTTACATGTTCAGGATTAGGCTTCCAGTTTCTTCTAAAGTTTCTTCATCCAATTTCAATCCCAGTAGCCCATTCATCTTAGTGACTTTGTCGCCTTACTTAGGGTAAAGTTATTTGCAAAAACCTAGAAACAAATAGAATCCACGAAAATATATTGGAAGAAACAAACAAAATATAACCCGATTGAGAATGAAAGAAAGAACCATTAACATGTATGAAGGAATACTAAACAAAGAGAAACGAATATATATATATATATATATATATATATATATATATATATATATATTTGTTTCTCCTATATTATATTTTCGTTTGCTTCTTCCTCTCTCTGTCTCTTGTCTCTCTTTCTCTCTCTCTCTCTCTCTCTATCTCTATATATATATATATATATATATATATATATATATATGTGTGTGTGTGTGTGTGTGTGTGTGTGTGTGTGTGTGTGTGTGTTTCTCTGTGCATGTGTGTATGTGTCTTAGGATATGAGTGATTTAACATGCCACTGTAAAAGTTAAACGTGTGAATATTTTTGTCATGCCACGAAATAAAAAAAAATAAAAACGTTCTGCCAAATAAGGTATGCTTTACAACTACATAAACTGCCTGGAAACAGGAACTGCTCAACATAAAATATTATGCCAACTGTAAAACACTTACGAAATATATATGTTATTATACAGATATATTAAAATATGTATTCTTATGTTTAAACATAAAAAAGCAAAACGCGTGAAGCAATTCCTAGAATTGTTTGAATGAGAATTTTAATATTGTGCGAAAGTTATGGCACATTTAATAAGGTTCCGATCTGAATAGCATATATAGAAACAAGCGTAAGTAATTTCTGAGTGAATTAGCTCCTGAATGAAAATTTATTTTGAAATGTTCATATGCCGACTGTGAATATTACCGTCGCCACCTTGAGGATAGACGGACTAGTGATTGTAGTCGGTGCTGACAAAATAATTAATGGTCATCTGAATATCGATTTACATCATGAAACTATCAGTATTGCCAATGAGTCTGGGATGACTGGGATGTTAAATATTTTGTAGGTTTTCGAAGCAGATTTAAACATCGATTAATACTGAATTTAATATTAACTCATAGACAAAAAAAAAAAAACCCACACATACAATCACACACAAACACACACAGTCCTTGAGCAACAAGTTGCCTCAGAGGTTTCATTTACGATTACATTTTCAAGTATTTTTTTTTATTTTTACTGATCTTTGGACAGTCGTAGCCGAAAATCCACTCTCACGCGTCAAGCGTCTCATGGATTGAGTTGGATTCTTATAATTGTTCTCTTTAGCACTAAGTTGAAATGATGAAACCTCTTCCAGTTCTGATATCCGGTTCCAGTTTTCCTCTCATATGTTCTTCTCTTTTTTAAACTTATTCTCTGTTGTCTTGATGGTTCTTGAATGGAAGTCTTGATAGAAGCCAGAGTATGAATTTTGGTTCCATTACTGAAGGCTTGAATGATATTTTACTCTCACCATTGCTCATTTGGAAAGACGGTTGGGCTGACATAAAACGTTTTTAAGCTGTTCCCTTTTTAGGTGAATACCTCAAATGTTTTTTTCAGTTATTCTTACGAAAAATGACGTCAAGGTGGCTAAATATATTATGTGAAAACCTGGTTAAAAGAAGTTTAATTACTTTAGTGTTTTTTTTTTGTTTTTTTTTTCTTTTTTAGATATTAAATCTTTTCTGGGATGGACACGATTTGGGCTATGTTACTGTTACAAAATAACAATAAAGTTCGAGTCTGTCATGATATAAGCAAAAAATGGATTTTTTCCCTGTTTGGGACCATTAGCAAATATTTAATCATGAAAAAGAAGGAAACTAACAAATAAGGAAACGCAGTAACAACAGAAGAAGAAGAAGAAGAAGAAGAAGAAGAAGAAGAAGAAGAAGAAGAAGAAGATGATGATGATGATGATGATGATGAAAAAGGGCAGGTTTAGAAGAACAATAATAATAAGAAGAACAAGAACAACAATAACCACCACAACACCAACAATAACTATTATAATAACAAAAACAACAACGGTATGTTATAAAGTAGAAGACGAAGAAGTTGATGATGGTGATGATGATGGTGATGAAGAAAAAAGGGGAGGTGTAGAAGAAGAGAAAGAATAAGAAAAAACCACAACAACAACAACTACTACTACTGCTACTGTAACACAAAAATCAGAACAACAAAGCGATGTTATGAAGAAGAAAAATTACCAATAGTAGCAGTAGTAGTATTCGTGCCCGAATAATAATAATAATAATAATAATAATAATAATAATAATAATAATAATATTTCGCGTATTATATGATAGTATGACGAAAGAATTATTGTAACATAAAATCTGCCAAATTTGCATGCAAATACCATATTAAACACTAGAAACAACAGCGAATAAAGAAGACAAGGAGAAGTAAATATAAGGGTAACTTGGTAGACGAATACTAAATGAAGACAAAGAAAAAAATAAAGATGGCAAGAGTAACATTGAGAATAGAATAAAGATGCAAATAATAAAGAAGAAAGATAAAACCATTTGATGAAAGTATCAAAAATAGAATAAGAAAAAATACAAAAATGAAAGACTTCTTGGTTAGACTAAAAGTGAACTTCAGAAAATATTATCTTGTACGAAAAGAGGATCTACATGGCAAAGTTTTAGAAAAGAAATAGTTGGAAAGTGAAGAAGGAGAAGAATGGAGACGGTGATGTTGCGATCTGAAACCGGATGAAATGCGTTAATAATTCGATAACAAGCAGAGGAGCTCCTCGGCATTATTAGCAGCTTCGAGAATAGAAGATATCGAACGACAGCTAAAATTCGACGATTTGTGTTCCTCTATTAAAAGATATTTCCTTATATAACTCATAATGGCACGAGAGGGGATGAACCGAAAGTAGGCGCTCGGCGCATGCGCCTGTAACATTACTCCAGAGTATCAGTGAAAGTCCATAAAGATATACGCAGAAAAGAATACATTGGCGTAAAATAGACTGACTGCACACACACTCTCTCACTTTATATATATATATATATAAATATATATACACACAAAAGAATATGTATGTATGTATATATAAGATGGTTCTCTGATTAATGTCGAATCACTGTTCCCATAAATCTATGCTTAGTTTTCTTTCTGTGAAAAGACAAGTATTTTTTTTCAGGTTTTTCTTACTTCTTTTCTAAAATCTGGTTTCATGGGCGTGTTAGGTGTTAACGTTTTTCTTTTCTCTTCCAACTTTCCTATATATATATATATATATATATATATATATATATATATATATATATAAAAAAGTATTTCTGATATGCTACAACGATTCGATGTATTTTATGAGAATCGTTGCTTGTCACAGCCTACCTTGTAGTAAATACATTAGAATCAAGATTATACAAATCTTGAAGAAAAAGTAATGCCCGTCCTTGTTTTATTTTTTATTTATTCTTATATAGAAATCGCCCCAAGCAAGGCAGTAAAGCCACTGAGATACAAGGGGTTACTTGGTGTGAAAGAATTAGAAAACAAAAGCATTACTGGGGAGGGAGAACAATAGAAGAACTGTCATCTTGGTAGATAACGATTGGCATTGTATTTGAATTAATAATTTAATAACTTGACTGGAAAGCAAGAAGCCAGAAGAGAGTTCTATCAGTGAGAAGTGCGAGAAAGGTAACTATTAGCAAGGAATTTACATTTACATCTAGCCAATTTAAACTATAAATTGATGGGAACGTGTTGCTAAACCAGTACTGTGCTTAAATTCTTAAAGTCTAGGTACCATAGCTAAAAGTTCATCCGATCAAGTACCCTGAAAGTATTTAAAACACGTAGTAATAAAATAACTCAAAAAGTATCGAAACTAACAGAAAATGATTCAGACTTACAAATCTAATTATTCATATTGTCTCCTATTTTCACAATCGTTGTCATCTGCATTCCGATGACAGCGTAGAAACCTATTCGAGGAAGCTTCCTAGATATTTTCTCAGTCACGTGAGTTGCATTTATCGCCTTTTTCTAAATAGAGAATCATGTTTCGCTTTCATTGGCCTAAAGAGTTAGAAGTTTGAATGTATTAGGAGAGAACAGTATGGTCGATGAAATAATTTTGTCTACACATACGCTATGAGAGTATTTAACTTGACATGACGCCAGGCATTGACATCTTGCGTAATCACATCATTCATGGTTAGGTGTGGCATAGCTAGAACCAATCTTCAGCCAAATTTTAAAAATATGTCCATGTAGGATCCAGAATGGATAGTGATGTCATTTGGAAAAGTCCTAACTGATGGACTTGATTATTGTCCAGCAATATTATGTCTCTCGCTGTAAAGCTTATTCATTTCCTGCAGTACATAATAACTTATTTATATTTACATTTTTGAAGACTAAACATGGTTGGAAAGCATGGAACCGGAAGAGACTTTCGCGAGTTCGAGAAAAGAAAATAGTAGCATAGAACTTCCGGTTACATCTAACCAACTCAACTCTAAGTTGATTAGACCACGTTGCCAGTCTAGTGCCCAGCTTACATTAATTAAGTCTAAGTACGATAGAAAAGAGATCAGCCGAACAATTACTATGAAAATATTTATAGAAATGGCAAAAGCAGGCAACCTTATGATTGCGGGAAAGTGACTGAAGCGGAGATCAGGACCAATAATATTGCTGACAGACAGATATATTCATAAATTACATGAGTTAAATAAAATATTTAATAATAACACAATAAAAATTAGTTACAGTTATATGGATCAAATAATGAACAAGCCTAACAAGAAATGCAAAGAAAAAATGAGACTGTAGAAAGCAAATCAAACAGCCATTCCCGGCAAAGTGCAGGATTGTCCGAAAGTCTTGTCATCTCCTATCAAAAAGTAATGAGATTCATAGAAGAACAGATAATACACTAATACAAATCCCATGTGCTGGATTCATTTTATTCATTTTCATAGATGCTGTCACACATCGAGAAGGTCTATATGAATACCATCATTTTTGTGTAGACGTTCATGTCAGGCACCTGAAATATAAAATAATGTAGTTGCGAGAAGAATTTCGGATCATCTTTATATTATACACGTCAACTGTGACAGCACAAGAAATCTCAGTGTAAAACATTTATATCGAAATCACTTGGAAAGAATTTAAAGTTATGCAAAGCATTTACTATCTTTGAAATATATATTATATCTTACAAAGAGAATTTGTATCAAGATACTACAACGGCATAGGAAACAATTTGAACTCGACACGCCAGTACTACATTTCAGACTCCTGTAAAAGCAAATAAAATATAAGAATACAATAAAAAGTTTAAAATAAAAGAAAATAATTATTTAAAATATTGACAGTGTATTGAATCTGTATGTTTACTGATAGATCATTTTTTTTACCACGCCGTTTTAAATGCCGTGTTGTTGTTTTGTTTCAATGTTATTTTCTTTCCGTTTTCATTTTACAAAAGAGGCTTCTATTTGAGACATTAAGAAAATTCTTTCAATGGCCTTGATATTTTCCCGCTATTGTAATTGTGCAGATTATATAATAGATCGTGTTAGTTAAGTCACGAAATACTTTATATCTCCAACCATTGTATTTATATAGTTTTTTTATCATTTCTCATGCCTAATTGAACTTATCTTAAATGTTCTCATATAAATGACTATTACACATAGCTAATTTCGATCTAGTATTTGTCATAACTTAAAGACTGTTTTAAATCTTCTATATCTCTAATGCTTTCTCAGATATAGCTGTCATCTCTCAGGAAATTTGATATAGCTAACTTCTTAAAATTCAGAAGGCGAAATTATACTTATGGTTATAAGGACGGCAAAGGACAGCTCGAGGCGGTGTAATGGCTAGCAACCTAGTCTCAATTACGACTGAGTAGTGAGTTCGATCCTCACTGGGTGCCCCTACTTACGGCTTTTGTTCCCCATCTAAGCTACGCTCAGAAAATCGCTATAATATTGTGCAACTTGAAGCGGTGTAATATTTACCATGCTTGTCTCACTAGAACAATTACGATAGAGTGCCGCATGTAAAATTGGAAAATGCCTGTAAAGACGGACAATGGAATTAGAGAGCAAAGATTGATTTCTTGATTTTGTTTAGCGGCATATCGATCTGTATAGACTATTTAATGCCGAAATATAAATATTTTGAACATAATTCTATAATTTTAGGATAGTTTGTAGATCATAAAATTTATTATTGGTAATGTCACGACAAAAATATATCGTTGGAAAAGTTTATATAGAAAGTGGTTGTTTTACTGTTGTATTTATCCGTATGTTGATGTGTTGATGGTACTTTTACTATAAAAATAACATGTTGATTTTTGTTGTAGGGGGGAGTTCATTATTTTCACGTAGGTGGGACTCTAAAAGGTGCCATAACGTCGAGTCAGGTTAGACCTGGGAACAACAGCACTTAAGATGTGATTTCAAGCCGCTCAACACATCCATTCTCCCGATCAGAGACTTTGCTGCCGGTTAGAGTTTATCGTCATACATATGACTAGAGGGCAAAGGTGAAATTCCGAGTTAGTCTTTTGCGTGTACTGACTTTAGAAAAGAAGTAATTCATCAGTTCTTTGCTCATCTATACGCCACATTGCAGATAAGATCGATCTCTCTAGCCGTAGTTAGAAACAAATTTAGAAATACTACGATATTTCATTTCGAAACAATAAAGAATTAAGGGTAAACAGAAACTGGTCTCTTCCAGGAGTTTTTCAAGAAGCCAAGACAGTTCAGCTAATAAAGAAAAGAAATTTTGGAAGAGACAGGATTTCTTAAGTCTTGAAGAGATTTTGCATTCAAACAAAAAAGAAAATATTTCTATGTGATCTTGCCATATTTTAGAAATTTTCTTTTCAATGATGAATTCTTTAAAGACCAGAAAAATAGTAAAAGGCAAATCCAATCAACATGTACAACATTTACACAAAGGCATACTTAAAATACTAGAAATGCTTGGATTACACGAGAAATATCTTCTCTACTGAGAAAAGAATGAAGATAGAGGCAAGCTCAGTATATAGCCCCCAAAAAGCCTAAAGGCCATTCAGAGGAAGACGCGTGTTCTCATCGGATTTATTTAAACTCTCCACCGAATGAAAAGAATTGAAAACCTAACAAGGTTTATTATCGGATGACATCATCATAACCACTTAAGATACGTGGATGACTCTATGTTGATTGCAGACTCGGAGGGAAGATTGAAAGAAAATTTACACAATGAAGTAAAACAAGAATAAACACATATTACCTGTAAGTAGACGAAATACATGGGTATGAGTTAATTGTGAGTTAAGTAATAGGAAAGTCAAGAGTAATTTGATAAACGGTGTAGTAACGGAAGAAAGAAAACAGGGCACAGAAATTCGAAGAAATAGGGAACGATGATTTTCAGAAAATATGACAGACTTTGGAAAATATAGCTAGAAACAATGAAAACAGGACACAGAATTTCGAAGAAATAGGGAGCGATGATTTTCCGAAAATATGACAGACATTGAGACATTGGAAAATATAGCTAGAAACAATGAAACGTGTGTTTAACTGCGATGCCATATTTATCCTGTTTGATATTAGTCAATCTCTTCACTGAAGAATATGTCTTAACATGACATCGTCAAATATAAAGAACACAAGGTAAGATCATGTAAGCATTCATATGGAAAATAGCGATATTTTTTTTTATGCTTTTCAAGCTAAGCAGGGCGGGAGTGTCACTATCACGCAAGGGTTTACAGAGAGTGGGAGCAAGAGGAAAGAGGTGTGATAGAAGAAATGACGGACGTGGAATTAGATCAAGCTATCTGAAGATGTCGATTGACATCGCATTGGAATAACTGAAGATGATGGTTATCAGGGAATCTAGTAAAAAGAAGTGAGTTCCACAGGCGG